GTGGAGTTCACCACACCTATCGAGTCCAACTCCGTGGTGATCCGGTACAGCATACCCGACACGCAACAGGGTAAGGATCAACAGATCCGGGATGCCGATATTGACCTGTATGTGGGCGATACCAAGCTCAAATCGCTGACATTCACCAACAAATACAGTCATTATTACGGCGGCTATCCCTTCAACAACAACCCCTCGAGTGGAAGTCCGCATCATTTCTATGATACCGTACGCACACTACTCGACAAGACATACCCGGCCGGTACCAAAGTTAAGGTCCAGGTGTCGTCCACTGATAAATCACCAACATTCACTATTGATCTGGCTGATTTTGAGTTGGTGGGCAAACCCCTTGAACAACCAGCCGGTTCATTGTCTGTCGTCGATGCCGGTGCAGACCCTACAGGTAGAGATACCTAGCATTTTAATTAAACTTTAAATGACCTAGTTTAATAATACAATTCTATATTCAGGTAAAACCGACTCAACCAAGGCTTTCCAAAAAGCCGTTGATGATGGTAAAGGTCAACAGAAAACAGTATGGATCCCCCAGGGCACCTACCTGCTCTACGACCACGTGATTGTAGATGGCGTTACAATTACCGGTGCCGGACCCTGGTACTCGGTGTTGGGCGGTAGACACCCTCAGGATAAGAGCAAATCTGGAGGTATTTTTGGCAAATACGACGCCGATATACCCGGTGGTAGCAAAAACGTGCACCTGTCCAACTTTGCCATTATCGGCGATATCCGAGAGCGTAATGATAATGCGCCCACAAACGCAGTAGGTGGTTCCCTATCCGACTCGACCATTGATAACCTATGGCTGCAGCACGTGAAATGTGGTGGGTGGTTTGACGGCAAAATGAATAACCTGGTCATCAAAAACACTCGCATCGAAGATACCACCGCTGATGGCGTCAACTTCCATAAGGGAGTGACCAATTGTGTCGTACAGAACTCGTTCATCCGTAATACCGGTGACGATGGTCTGGCCATGTGGTCCGAGCAGTTCCCCAACAAGAACAACAAGTTCATCAACAACACCGTCGGTATTCCCATTCTGGCCAACAATATCGCTATTTATGGCGGAACTGACATCGAAGTGAGCGACAACTTCGTGTACGACACCATCACTAACGGCGGTGGTCTACACGTGTCTAACCGTTATAACGGTGTTGTGGGCGAGGCTGGTATCAAAGGTCACTA